TTGACCTTCAGGCTGGTGACTTGCAAACATTCCAGGGGTGCACGTGTGTGCATGCCCCAAATCCTGATGGGGTAAAAAAATGAAGGAAGGAGTGAAGCATGACTATGCCGCAATGGAGGTTGCTTTCTCTCTCTCTCTTTTTTGGGAGGGTGGGGAAATATATTTTCTCATTTAAGTAAATCTAAGGTTTGTACATGGTAAAAAATACTGTAATTATTTTTTTTGACTGTGAGACATTTAACAAGGACAATTTTTAAAAAAACAATTATTTAATTAGTTAATTCATTTATTTTAGTTTGACCAGAGAGGGAGGGAAAGCAAGAAAGTAAGCAGTTAGGTTTAGGACTTGAACCATGGTTGGCCACATGTGAGTCCAGCACCCCAAACACTGTACCACCCGCTGGCACCTAACAAGAACAATTTTAAACATGAGGCCCTGCCAACGCTAAAACTATACTATGATAAGGACAATAATAAAACTATTAGTGGCCATTTCTACATTTTGGACAGGTGTATTATGAGAGGATAAATATCCATTTCTACAGACCATAATTTCAAGCTTCTGTTATCATCTTTGCTTTCAATTTAATTTCTTCTATAAATGTATCTTTTTCCCAGATCAGTAGGAACTAAATGAAAAGATTATTTTAAAGCACTTCGAGCTCCTTATCTTTCCTCAGGAAAATATGTACCAAAAACAATGTGTTTGGGGGAAAAAAATGACAACTCAGCCTAGGTTCTATATTTTGTCTAAATCTGAAAGTAGCTGTCTGTCTGCACAGTGGCTAGATCAGGGAGAAACCAAGTGTTCCAAAAGAGGAAAAGAAGGGAACAAGAATTTTTAAAAATTCTAGATGAATAGGAAAATAAGTCAAGCCTCTAAAGCATAGGAATCTTCTAGGTTATAAGAAATATTAAGTTTTATGCAAATTGAGTTACAAAAAAAAGTTTCAGGAAAACAAAATGTATCTATTAAATGACTGCAGTAGGATATGTAGCCCCAGTTAGGTGCTAATTTATAGGATGCGTAAAGTTAGACTTGTGCTCATGGAAATGTGTGTGTCACATGTGTTTGCTAGGAGGGTATTTGGACTGATGAGGGTCTTTGGTGATTCAATAAAATGTTGGGGGGAAAATGGTATAGAAATAGATAACAGAGACAGTGTGGGAGGAGAACAGGAGGTGGCAGAGGGTAAGAGAGAGGGAACCAAGGATGGGGGAGGAAAAAAAAAAAAAAGAAATAATAAGTTTTAGGGCTGGCAGGTAGAGGGCTGGTTAAGGTGCTAGACTCCCACATGTCTGACTGCAGTATGAATCCTGAACCTGGCAGTTTGCTTTCTTACTTTCCACTTCTCTGTCTCTCTTTAGTCACATTAAAAAGATAATAATAGCAAAATTAAATAAATTTTTAAAAATAATTATTTTATCTAACTTTATTTGTTTGTTTTTATTTGACCAGAGAGGAACAGAGGGAGCAAGAGACGGGAAATGACCAAGACACCAGGTCCAGGACTAGAACCATGGTCAGTCATGTGGGAATCCAGCTCCCTAATCACCATGCCACCTGCTGGCCCCATAAATATATGTTTTTTTTTTTTTAAAGTAAATATTTGGGGCCAGCAGATGGCATAGTTAAGGTACTGGACTCCCACATGGCCAACCACAGTTTGAGTCCCAGACTTGATGGCTTGTTTTCTCATTTTCCCTCCCTCTCTGTCTTGGTCTCTGTCTCTCTCTCTCTCTCTCTAGTGAATACACATGCCCTATAGCAAATTAAAAAAAAAAAAAGTAGTAATAAAAAATAAAATTAAATAATTATTTTTAAAAAGGGAAATATTCATATTTCTTTATCAAAATCATTAGCTAAAGAGTCCGGCAGATGGAATGGTGGTGAAGGTGTTGTACTCCCACATGGCCAACAACAGTCTGAGTACCAGACCTGGTGGCTTCCTTCTTCTCTCTTTTTCTCCCTAGTCTAATTAAAAAATAATAATAGGGGCCAGCAGCAGCAGGTGACATGGGTGGTTAAGGTGCTGGACTCCCACATGGCTCACCACAGTCCAAGTCCCAGACCTGGAGGCTGCTTTCTTACTCCCCCCACCCTTTTTCTCTCTGGTGTGTATGCATGCCCTGTAGCAAATTAAAAAATAACAATAATGATAAATAAAAGTTAAATAATTATTTTAAAGTTAATAATAAATAATTTTTAAAAGTCCATTAGCCAAAGACACAGCTAATTATTTTGATCCTTTGTTCAACATTTTACCTCCTCTGATTAATTTATTAGTTTAAGTATTAGTTATTCCAGGGACCAGCAGGTGGTGTGGTGGTTAAGGTGCTGGTCACTCCCACATGGCTGACCACGGTTCAAGTCCTGGATCTGGTAGCTTGCTTTCTCACTTTCTCTCTCTCTCTCTCTGTGTCTATCTCTCTCGGGCCAAATAAAAATAGGTGAATGAATAAATTAAATTAAATTAAATTAATCTTAAAATAATTAGTTATCCAAACTAATAAAATATAAAGCATTAACAGTATTTTCATGAAAATGAACTCTAAACAATTCTATACTAATTGTCAGTTAAGAGAAGAATTCTTAGAAATCACAGTGTGTCCAAGTATTTGATATTAAGTTCCAACCTTTCCATAATGAAAAAAGCTAGGGGCCAGCAGGCTGCATGGTGGTTAAGGTGCTGGATCCCACATGGCTGGCTGCACGGTTTGTATCCTGGACCCAGCAGCTTGAAAAACACGCCAGGCATGTGTGTATGCATGCCCCAAATCCTGACAATACAGAAGGGACTGCAGCACCCCCCAAAGGGTGATTTCTCACCTTCCCTCCTTCATTCTCTCTTTGGTGAGTGACCACGCCCTATAGCAAACTTTAAAAAAAAAAAAAAAAAAAAAAGCACCACACATTTCCTTGTACCCTTTTACTAAATAATCTGAAATATTAAGTTGCTTCTTCCAAAGGTGACAGAGTTAAGAAAACAGGTAGGAAAAAAACTAACAAACATGTTAAAGCCCAATCACTCATCCTTTTCATTTAACGTGATACAAGATCAAGGAGTCTCCGCAGAGTAGAATACATGTGAGTTGAGAATATAAATCTTAACATTTGAGTTTGAAAAATGGCAAGTGTTAAAGCCAAGTGATGAACTTTAGGTCCATAAATGTTCATTACACTATTCTGTCTCTGCTTGAATTAGGTGGCCAGAAAAGTCATGACATGTTTTTCTATGCAAAAATGCATCATGACTTGCTCAATGACCCAATATACGTTTGAGATTTTCTATAATAAACATTATGAATGTAGCAGGCATGTTAAGACAAGCATTCAGGATCTGACAGGCTAGAGGAATAAAAGATGGGGACTGTGGTGTGATCAGACCCTCAGAATGCTCATCTTACTCTCTCTTTGAAAATAATATTTTTTAAAATTCCCAGTTCTTTTTCCCTTCTCTTTTTAAAAAAGTTTATTTTAATGATTTATTTATTATTATTTTAATTTGATCAGAGATAAATAGAGACAGACAGACAGAGAGAAAGGGAGATGTGAGAAAGCTAGCTGCCAGGTCCAGGACTTGAACCACAATCATCCTGGATGGAGTCCAGCATCTTAACCACCACGCCACCTGACGTCCCCCCCCCTTTTTTTAACCCCTTCTAACAATAGTTTCAATTGTCTTTCCTACTGGGAAAAGACAGAGCTGTTTCTTACTGCATATGCCTTGACAATTGTTTGGGGTATGTCCTTAATTAAACTGTTCCTATCAAAGAAGAAACCATCAGGGTAAGCCAGGTGGGATTTGTGGTTGAAATAGCTAAATTTCACATAGCCAACTGCATGGTTCAAGATCCAGACCTGGCAGCTTGAGAAATATTCCAGGCATGTGTGTGCACAGAAGAGTGAGAAGGGATTACAGTTTTGGCTATTCCCCTCAAGGGGTGATTTTTCATTTTCCCTCTCTCCTCCTCAAGAGAGCACATATACCCTATAGCACATAAAGAAGAGAAGAGAAGCCACTAGACGTTTTTAGCTACAAGAACTCACTGCTTCAGGAAAGGCCAATCAGGAGCCTTGCTTGCTTTCTCGTGCTCTCTCCCCCTCCCCCCTCCGTCCCTATCTTATAAAATTAAAATAAACAAATTAATTAATTAATAAAATAATTATTAAAAAAAATGCTGGGAGGGGCAGGTGGACAGCGGCAAGTGGCATGGTGGTTAAGGTGCTAGACTCCCACATGGCCAACTGCAGTTCGAGTCTCAGACCTGGCAGCTTACTTTCTCACTTTCCATCCCGCCTCCTCCCCCACAAATTAAAAAATAATAGGGATCAGCAGATGGCATAATGGCTATGTTGCTGGACTCTCATGTAGTCAACCACGGTTCAAATCCCGGACCTGGAGGCATAAACTCACGCTAGAAGCATGTGTGTATGTGTCCAAGATCCTGAGAGGAGAATGGAGAAGGGATAGCGGCATGGCCACCCCCCTGGGGGGGTGATTTCTCACTTTTTGTCTCTCTGTCTCTGTCTTTCTGGTGAGTGCATGTGTCCTATGGCAAAAAAACCTCTTCAAAATAATAATAATAATAAATAAACTTAAATAAATTATTCTTTTTTTAAAAAATTGCCCTGGGGGCCAGCAGGTGATGTGCTGATTTAAGGCACTGAATTCCTACATGGTTAGCTTCATGATTCAAGTCCCAGATCCAGTGGCTTGAAAATCACAACAAACAAATAAAGGTAAAAAAGAAAATTGCTCTGAGAAATGGGAAAAAATTGTAAAACAAAACCTATCAACTACTTTTGTGAGGATACACATTACTGTAGGTTTAAATTATTAACCTGAATAAATAATAATGCATAAAGGGTAGAAATCCCACCTCTAACATAAAAAAAAAAAAAAAAACTGCCCAAAATTTGACAACAAATTAATACTTTGATCAAGCAGTTCATTTTTATAGCATACCAGTTATCAAACAGTTTAAAAAATACGTACAGTTCCAGAAAGGACATCATGGGGGCAACAGTTGAGGAGGTGACTCTTGCATACTCTGTCATCACTGAATTTGATTCGTTGACGAGTAGTATCTCCTGTAATATAGAAAAGTTAATAACATCCAAGGTTAGACAACTAGGAAAGTGTTTGTTTCCTGAGAGCCCCGCTATCACTAGCTTTTGATGTGTGGCTACATACGCACACGTTTATACATCAACTCAAGAGGGATTAGTTTTTCTTATAACATCCTATAGAAAAACTACTAGACAACATGCAGTTGCAGTATGTGTACTGCACATGTAATTCAAATAGTCAAAGTGGGAAAGCAATGCATTCTGTTAAATAGAGTACTTCAGAAAAGCGTAGGATTTTAGAGCA